CCATCCATCCATCCACCCATGCAACCACCCATTTATCCATCCATCCACCTACCCATCCATCCATCCATCCATCTATCCACCCACCCATGCACCCATCCATCCATGCATCCATCCTCAGCGAGCAGTGGGGCTTCCCTCCCTGGGCAGTCCCGCTGTGGAGATACATTCACAGTACGTGGCCTCCTGTGAGCTGTCCCCAGCCAGTGCCTGGAATGCACACAGCAGCCCACTGGAGGCGGGCAGCAGCATCACCCTCCGGTCCTGTGCACGCTCCCGCCCCTCTTGTCCTCAGAACATGCCCTGGCTCCCTAGGCCCACTGTTGGGGAGGTGAGCCATACGGGACGCTGCTTCCCTTGTAGGCCCGGGTGCTGTGCAAAGCACGGCCTCGCGGAGGCATACAGAACCTCTGTGGAGTTCCCTGACGAGACCTTGGCCTTCATCAAGTCCCACCCGCTGATGGACTCGGCCGTCCCGCTCATCGCTGATGAGCCCTGGTTCACCAAGACACGTGTCAGGTGAGCCAGCACGGGAGAAAAGCAGGGGTCCCGCCCCAAGCATCCTGGGGCTCTTGACCCCTCAAGCGTGACTGGGCCACCTCCTCCTGCAGGTACAGGCTAACGGCCATCGCTGTGGACCACTCCGCGGGGCCCCACCAGAACTACACTGTCGTCTTCGTTGGCTCTGAGGCCGGGGTGGTCCTTAAGGTGTTGGCAAAGACCACGCCCCTCTCTCTGAATGATAGCGTGTTACTGGAAGAGATTGATGCCCACAACCACGCCAAGTAGGTGTATTTTACAAGCACACCACTTGCACATTTCCCGGATGGGTTTCATCCAGTCATTCCCCTGCAGCCCTCGAAGTTAGCTGTGGTTTGGCATGTTAGTATTTTGTTTTATTTTTCTTCTTACTGAAAGAACTCTTGAGCTTGAGGTTTTTGTTTTGTTTTTCCTGAGCCTGTTAGGATGAGGAAAGTGAACAGTTGATAAGTTTCAAAAATATCTTCAGCCCTTGTTTTTCACCCGTGGAAGTTGAGACTACTTAGCACTTGCGCCCTCACGTCGCAGGTGGATCTCAGGAGGCTACGTGTGGCAGACGGCCTAAGCCCCACACATGAAAGCATATCGATGGGTGAGCCTTTTCTGGTGATCAGTGAGATAAAGAGATGATTGAGGCCACTAAAGCAAACATGAAATAAGTACATGAGAGAAATGAAGCCAGGGAAGCCAAAGAGAGGCCCAGAACCATTCTGGAGGAAGGACTTCAGTGCATCAGAACGACCTTCTGTTCCTCCTCATCCTCCATGAATGCGGCCCCTTTCACCTTCACAACAGGAGAGCAGCCTTCAGCAAGCCCTTGGGCCAGCCTGGATCTGACCAGTCAGGCAGAGCTGCAAGAGGAATAATAGTTATCTCTCCCCCAAATCGTACTGGCCTATCTCACGACTAAGGGTGTTTCTTAAGACAGCCCCAGCTTGTAGGAACTGCAAAACTGAGCAGTACCAGCCTGTGTGGTTTGTGTCGCTTTTAACTGGCCAAACATGTGACCTTGAAATGTTTCCTCTAAAACAGGTGCAGTGCTGAGAACGAGGAAGACAAAAAGGTCCTCTCCTTACAGCTGGACAAGGACCACCACGCTCTCTACGTGGCTTTCTCGAGCTGTGTCATCCGCATCCCCCTCAGCCGCTGTGAGCGGTACGGATCCTGTAAAAAGTAAGCTGATTTTTTTTTTTTTTAATTACATTTCCCCCTTGTGGTATTGGGGATTGAGCCAATGGCCTTCGCAGTGAGCTGCATCCCTGGCCCTCATCTGTGTTTTGTTTTGAGACACGGGCTTGCTAAGTGGCCCAAGTTGGGGCGGAATTGCCTCAGCGTCTCAGTGCTGGGATCACAGGTGTGCCCTTCTTCATTTATGTGAAGTCGGATGCTACAACAGTGAGGGAATTCAAGTCCCATTCTGTTTGGCTGTGTGCAGGTCATGCATCGCATCCCGGGACCCATACTGCGGCTGGCTGAGCCAGGGGGCCTGCGGGCGTGTGACCCCAGGAATGCTGTAAGTATGTGTTGCTTGTGGGCTATGAGCTTGGGTCCAGATGCTTTAGAAGAGTACCTTTGGGAGGAAGGGGTGTGGGAGTAAACAAACCTGAGCTGTGAGGGAGTAGGGAGTGTAGCGCTAGCAATGCTCAAGGGAGGTACTCACAGTCAAAACCCCAGTTCTCTCTGCTCTAGTCTCATAGACAACCTAAGTTAGTTTTTAACAGATATAGGCAAGTCACGTTGCAAATCCTTCGGTTCTCTGTGCGCCTTCTTACTAACCTGCCTGTGTTCTCGATTTTGCCCCATTGTCACTTGGGTCCTATGCAGGCTGCTAACTGAAGACTTCTTTGCTTTCCATAACCACAGTGCTGGAGGTTACGAACAGGACACCGAATACGGCCACACGGCCCACCTAGGGGACTGCCATGGTAAGGCGCCACCTTCCGTCCCACTGCCCGCTTCTTTTGGACTGGTATTTGCACGCGAGTGTTATTTTACAAGCAGCCTTTGTAAGGACATGGGGCTATCCCACCTAGTATTTAACTTAAACTTTGCAAAAGTTGAGCCATTTGTCCTGGGGGTGCAGTTGCAAAGAAACTTATTTTTTCTTTTCCTTCGCTGCTGACAGTTTTGTAGCAAATCTAGAGAAGGTAGTCTAACCAGTAGGTAAATCTTCTGTCTAGTGCCTAGTCTTTTCTTTTGGCTTTTTTAGTTAATTGGAGTTCATAAATTTTTTGCTTTCTTTTCGTTACTTTTCACTGATTACTTGTTCCTTTAATTCTTTTAGAAATTTTGCCTACTTCAACTACACCAGATTACAAAATATTTGGCGGGCCAACATCTGGTTAGTTTTTTTTAATTTTTTTGAATTAACAACCTTTTCTTTCCTTCGGTTCAGCATTTTCAGCCCCCTCCCTCCCCTCCTTTTGCGCAGTTTGGCAAGCCTTCATTTTTCCGCTTTGACTCATGATCTCCTGATGGCACCAAAGGACTTTTTCTCACTCAGTACCTCACCCCTGTGTAGCATGCAAATGGTCCATCACTGGGCAAGGCACCTCCTCTAAGGACAGTCAGCCGGGTCCACATAGCCCCATCCCCGCCTCACGCACGCCGCCCTGGCTGCCCCTCCCCCCACCCCCTGCATCATGAATGATCCCTCTAGCCATCTATCCTGAATGGATGGCAGAGTTCCATAATGTCCTCCCTCCCTACTTGCCTTTCCCAACACTTAGGAACCAAATACACATTTCCCCCAAATGTGTATTTGTGACTTTTCAGCATCTCTTCTGGAATGTCTTGCCATAATCCCTGGACTCTCGGCGTGTCGTGATATCAGCGGTGTGGTCGATGCTTCAGAGGGAAGCAGGCTGGGCTTGGGTGTGCCGAGACGTTTGGGGAGCTCTTCCCAACCCCTGTCTCTGTCTACCTAGGACTGGTTCACGGGTCCGAGTGGGGGTCACAGGGCTTAGCCTGAAGCCCTGTGCTGACCTTTGGAGAGATATGGACCTAGTGAAGGGAGCTGAGAGACCTAAAAGATGAAGTGGCTCAGGCCAGTGCTGCTCATAGGTCAGACAGCAGTGGCTATCCTTTTGGGGAGAAAAGGATGGTGGATGTGATGTATGTGTGCATTCCTGTTCAGCTTGTAAATCCCACAGCTTTTGCATGAGTTGGTGACTCCTTAGAAGCAACTCCCCAGGTATTTTGGAAAACACAAGTGGAGTTCTCCATGGGCCCTGCAAAATCCACAGGTAGACAGGAGGCCCTCGGTAAAGCAGAAGGACTCTTAGGCAGCGAGCTAACTGGAGCTGACCCAGGTGCTCTCTGATACAATCACCCTGTGGCTTCCCCAGGGCAGAAAGGGGTTTCCAGCCATCTGTGAAAATCCTTCTTTGAAATATGCACAAAAACGAAATGATGTCTGTCACAAAAGGACGGGTGGGCTGCAATTACTCTGCACTGGAATTTGCTTTACCTCTTCCACAAGCTGCCATTAATTCCCACACGGGCATGAGTAGGAGTGTCTGAATGTCTTTTGTTTGGAAATCTGTTTGATACGTCTTTGCTGTTCATTTTTTTAGTTTGTATTCTTCTCTTGCAAGAAAGGGATTTGGTGTAGACTCCTCAGGCATGTTTTTATAAAGTCCTAGAACAAACCTAATAGCGTTGACTTAAACTTTAGAGCGCAGTGCTACAGACCAGGGAGCAGAGTCTTCTTACGCTTCCCACGTTAATAAACATCTGTTTGCCACCACAGACATGGAGGTATCTTCATCTTCTGTGACCACAGTGGCAAGTATCCCAGAAATTACACCTAAAGTGATTGATACCTGGAGACCTAAACTGACGAGCTCCCGGAAATTTGTAGTTCAAGATGACCCAAACACTTCTGACTTTACTGATCCTTTATCGGGTATTCCGAAGGGTAAGGCCTCATCAGGGAAGTCATCTGTAACTGTGTGGAAACCTGATTCTGAGCGTGTGGTCTTCGAAGGCCTCCCTCTCCTCCACCTCACTGGCCACCGTGACTTGGGGCGGCCACAGTCCTGTCTGTATGCATTCTGGAAAGATGAAAGGGCCAGAAGGCTCTCCAACAGGTGGCTGGTGACCTGGCCCCTGGGACAGGCTCATCTGTGTTGATTTCTGTCTGAAGGAGCTGAGAGACTGGTGAATATCTGGGAATTTCAAGGGTCACACTTGCAACAGAACTCATTAATGGCGATCGTCCTTGTACCAGATGTTTTGTCTAACAGCCTTTTCTGGCCCCTTGTTCAGCTTCAATTCAGAATGTGGTAGGCAAGACCATTGCAGGGGCAAGTTATTTGAATGCCACAGCAGTAAGCTATGGCAGTGCTTGTCCCTAACCATCACTCTCAGCCCCTGAAAGAAACAGTGATGAACTGCTGCCTCCTGAGTGGGCTAATGAGCTATAGTACTCCAGAAATGCATCTGCTCCTCAGTGCTACTAAACTGTGGTGTCAGGTTTCCAACCAGTTTTCATGGCACTGCTTTGTCATTTATGATTTACATCTGTTGACTTTGGTTTATATATATATTTTTTTACCGTAAACAGTTTTCTCATTCTTCTTTCCTCTTTATTTTCTTTAGAAATGCCATTTCTTTCTTCTTTCCTTTTGTTGTTTTTTCACAATGCCACTAAATTCCATAACCCCAGACATTGAGTATGAACAACTAATGTTCAAAGGCCTTTATACTAACTTCAAGCAAGAGAATTTTCAAAACCGACTGACCGACTTATTCTGGGATAGCATGCGACAGACTGGGATACCTCTTAAGCTAACATTTCTTTGATTGACTGTTAGATGTCTGTGGTTGCATTAAAATTCCAGTATTTACAAACTAATTCACTGTTCTCCTTCTAGGTCTAACTTAAGTATGTCTCAGTAGCTCCAGATAACTTAATGATGTCACTTAACTAATACATAGCTTAGTTTCTTATACTGTCTGGATTATTTTTATTTAGCAGGTAATTGAAGAGTGTTTCTCCCCAAGATGAAATAAAAAAAGAAAATCAAACCAAACATGAAAGTCTATATTTGTAGCTAACAATGACCAAGTGATTGTTTCAGTTTGTGAACAAATTACATGTTTGTTTTCTAGTTAGGTTAGTATAATTGTATTAGCATAATTACTTAAAGATGATATATATTTATGCTAATTCATACATTTCTCTAATCCCCACAGCAGCTGCCCTTTAATCCTGATTTGTGCATTACGAGAAAAATCATGAGACTAAACATTTCATGGGATTAAAATTGGCTGTTTAGAAAATGTGCACCCTCTCCCTCTATTTTTTAGGTAGAAACTGGGAATTTGTACCATGTATTTAAGAGTGATTGGGGGGAAGGACAGAAAAACACAGGTTGGTGGGAGACAGGGGTCACCCTGCTGTTTGAGCAATCACCTACATCTCTGGGGACCCTCTGGTAGCTCAGGAAAAGAGACTGCAATCTCGGTCTGTATCTGACCTCCGAGTGAAGCATGTGAAGGCAGGCGGGGCCTGGTAGAAGCTGTCTGCTATTGGACAGTTTGTAGAAAGCACTTCATTCAGGTCTTCTTGTGTCTGCTGCAGGTGTGCGGTGGGAAGTCCAGTCTGGAGAGTCCAACCAAATGGTCCACATGAACGTGCTCATCACCTGCGTCTTCGCTGCCTTTGTCCTGGGTGCATTCATCGCCGGCGTGGCTGTCTACTGCTACCGCGACATGTTTGTGCGGAAGAACAGGAAGATCCACAAGGATGCAGAGTCGGCGCAGTCCTGCACAGACTCCAGCGGAAGCTTTGCCAAACTGAATGGCCTTTTTGACAGCCCAGTGAAGGAATACCAACAGAACATTGATTCTCCTAAACTCTATAGCAACCTGCTGACCAGCCGGAAGGAGCTGCCACCGAGCGCAGACACCAAGTCCATGGTGCTGGACCATCGCAGCCAGCCCCCTGAGCTGGCCGCCCTCCCCACACCGGAGTCCACACCCGTGCTGCACCAGAAGCCCCTGCAGGCCATGAAGAGCCACTCGGACAAGGCTCACAGCCACGGGGCTTCCCGGAAGGAAGCCTCCCAGTTCTTCCCCTCTAGTCCTCCTCCACACTCCCCGCTCAGCCACGGCCATATCCCCAGCGCCATTGTCCTCCCGAACGCCACCCATGACTACAACACGTCCTTCTCCAACTCTAATGCCCACAAAGCTGAGAAGAAGCTGCAGCATGTGGATCACCCCCTCCCCAAGTCATGCAGCAGAAGAGATCACCGGCGTTCTGTGGACTCCAGAAACACGCTCAACGACCTCCTGAAGCATCTCAACGACCCCAGTGGTAACCCCAAAGCCATCGTGGGGGACATCCAGATGGCCCACCAGAGCCTCATGCTAGATCCCGTGGGCCCAATGACTGAGGTCCCCCCTAAGGTCCCCAACCGGGAGGCCTCACTCTACTCTCCCCCATCAACACTCCCCAGAAACAGTCCGACCAAGCGAGTGGATGTCCCCACCACTCCAGGGGTCCCTATGACATCTCTGGAAAGACAAAGGGGTTATCACAAAAATTCCTCCCAGAGGCACTCTATATCTGCCATGCCTAAAAATTTAAACTCACAGAATGGTGTTTTGTTGTCAAGACAGCCCAGTATGAACCGTGGGGGATACGTGCCCACCCCCACAGGGGCGAAGGTGGACTATATTCAGGGGACACCTGTGAGTGTCCACCTCCAGCCCTCCCTCTCCAGACAGAGCAGCTACACCAGTAACGGCACCCTCCCCAGGACGGGACTAAAGCGGACGCCGTCCTTAAAACCCGATGTACCACCAAAGCCTTCCTTTGCTCCGCAGACGCCATCTGTCAGACCACTGAACAAGTACACCTACTAGGCCTCCAGGGTGCTGTTCTGTGTGGCTATATCCTATCTGTGTCCTTGCGAGGTACCTTCAGAGGAGACACCTGCTTGTATTTTAAGAGAACCAACTGGCCAAAGAGACTTCACGCACTTTGGCAGCGTCAGAACTCGCCCCTGCGGCTACCGCGGCCAGGCCTCTGTGTACTTGCCCGAGAACAAAGGAAGGTGCTGGTCATTCCATTTCTTTGGTTGGAAGCTCACGTGCTGTGTAGCTCCGAAGGGCTACTTTGCCTGTAGAAAGAGCGGCTTCAGTACTCAGAAGAATCTGAGCAAATACTTGAAAATGGGTTCCATTCAGACTGCCATTGCGTGTGGTCTTCCCATTAAATGTGAACATTTTAACTATGTATGCATTCGCCTTGCCTCTTGCACAAATGTCAAAAAAATAAAAACGGTGGTAATGTCTCAAAGAAATGAACTCGTCAGGTTACCGTGCAGTTGGCTGGAAATTCAATTTGACCCAAACTGTAGCATTTTTTTCCAACTGTAGAATGAGCATTTTTCTCATGCCACCAACAAACCGTGTTGGAGCTGTGAGTGTGTATATATGTGTGTGTGAGCGTGCGTGTGAGAGACGGTGAGTTCTGTGCCCGCTAGGATTCGTGTCGCTGTCCACTGCATCTTTCTGTGCTATGGCGTTGTTTACATTGACTGAATAGGAGACCCTCCCTCCTCATGGCGGTCCACTTGGGTCTGGCTCCGAGAGACTATGCGTTTAGACTCCTTTACCACCCAAACATGAGCTTCATGTCCGCGATGGTACCCAATGCCAGAGTGTAAGAGCTCCATAGTTTTGTGCTGCTATCCCTTAAATCTTCTCTTCCAGTCTTGCCAGCCGACAGAGCTGGAGGTGCCCGTGGTTTACCCAACAGTGTTGAGTAGGAAAATGTACCTGTTCACTGTGAACCGAGACCCGAATCACTATTTAACTTCAAACACACTGACGAGAATTGATTTGGATTGTGTTTGTGTTTTCTTTCTTCCCGATAGAGCAAAAAGTTTTCACCCCTAATTCCTCCTATCCCCAGGGTAAAAAAAATAAAATATAAAAATAGGACAAAAGGTAAGACCTACGAAAGGAGTAATTGGCAAAACAGGAATGGTCTGTGAAAACATAATGAGTAGTTACAATCATGTTGTCTCTTGTGTTAGGTGAGAATTTTCTCCTCAGTCATGCAGGTTATGATGAAGTACTGTAAATATCACCTGTGAGTTTACCTGAATCTGTGCATTTTGTGCCTTATTCATGCGAGCGGTAGAAGTACTAAAATATGTCAAGTGTTTTCACGATAGCACATCATTTACTGAGTGCCACTTGTAAATGTTTTCAACCAGCACCTGAAAAGACTTTTACAAAAGAAAAAAAAATCAAAGAAACAACCTAGAGCAATTAATTGGTACACAGTCTGCCCGAATAGCAGCATCGCATTCTTTGCGGTCATACACATTCCACGCCTGCTTTCCAGGGGTAAAGCCGTGAAATGGTGACGTCAGATGAGGCTTCTCGGGGGGAAAGCCCTCTGGAGGGTCACTGGGTGAGCAGAATTCACTGACACTTCAAGTGCCACCCCGATGCCAGGTTCATTTAATATGCTGCACACCACCCAATTATTTGTTGAACCTAACCTAGAAAGTTCCATGGTAGAGGAAGACTCCTGACCTAGCCAGACGATAAGTTCAGTTGATTTCTGGGATAACGCTAACGCTCTATGTTGCTTGGGGGAGGAGATGCGGGAGACCAGATCATTTCTATACAGAATGTAGAATACTGATACAGCCATTCTTTTCCTTTGAGAACATTGCTTGGTAAAGAACCTGACTTTCTGTGATCACAAGAGCTGAAACGTCTGTTCTTGAAACACTTCAGCTTTGTAACTAAAATATGACCGATTAATAATAAATTAAACCAGCCCATGATAAGCACTACTCAGCCTACCACCACCAACAAACACGTGTTTGAATTTACCTTACGAATATTAATCCCAGCGTGGTAACTCTGTGTGACCCCAGATAACATTTTGTAACATTGTGCGGCCTTGTAGTTCGTGACTTCTATCGGTATTTATGTTGAGATTTCTAACATTGAATCTAGTCTCTATCCTGTTAATTTAATTTTTAAATGCTTTATCCATTTGTGCAAAGGTAAACACAGATTGTATCTTTTTTAATGGTACGGCATAAAAAGTAACCCTAAAGTGAAGTGGCTCTATACTGTTTTATAGAGTACTTTAACATGTATAGATATCTTGTAAACTTGTATTGTGGATGTGTAAATAATATGTACTTTGGGTTTTTAACACCGCATGTAAAGTTAAAATAAACTATACAAATCATTATATCCGGCCCCTTGATATTAAGAGGTTTATACTGTTATCATTTTGAAGTTTATGATCACTGTTGAAAGGGCCTTAAAAATCTACTCAGATGTGCCCACCAAGCATATTGGACACGTGGTAGAGGTTACGCCCCTGCTGTCTCTTTAGAAGGAAGATGTTGAAAGCCAGAGGCTGAGAACAAAAGAGAAGTGATTCAGAACTCTAGCTGGGCTGTAACCCTACATCCAGAAAGTACTAGACTAGAATTCAGTGTGCTGGCACATGCCCGTAGTCCCAGCACTCAGGAGAATGAGGCAGGAAGATCACCAAGAGTTCAAAGCCAGCCTGAACTAGTTAGGGAGACTCCGTTTCAAAACTAAAAGTAAATTAAGCAGAATCAAATGTTTTGGCAAACGTACTAGTAGCTCATATTATTGGATATTTAGTTCAACAGAGATTGTTTAAATCCACCATGTGCTTTTCTGCATGAAAGTTTACATTTATGTTAGTTCAAAAGTGTGCCGCTCATGTACACTCAAAGTGCAATGTAAGTTCAGAGGGGTCCTTGCTGCTGGCTGCATGGAATTTCTCACCATTGTTTTGATTGGAAAGAATCCGGTAGAAGATAGCATCCCTAACTATTGAAGTGGAAAATGAAAGCAATGGTCCTGATGTTCCTCTTTAACATGTCATCAACTGGTGTGGCTGGGTGGCTGTCCTGCCCCTTGGGGACAGTGAAGGTGTCAAGCCATTTCCGAGTGAAGTGAGGCTGGGGCTAGCGGGCCTTGCCTCCCCAGCTTGTCCCTGGCTGTGTCCCATGCAGGTCCCCACTGTGGCTTCCCCATGTCCACATTTTCCCCAGCATTCTTCCATGGGGTGTTACTCGGTATCATCCACGTGAGGTCCTGCATTTCTGCTTGGTGGTATGGGGTCCTTTTTCTGGTTGTGGTGTGCTCTAGTCTGAGAGATGAGGACTTTGCTTTGGGAAACCTCTCATGGGAGGGACAGAAGGCTGGGGTCCCCTGGACCCCTTTTCACAGCTCCCAGCTCTACAGCTGTAGAGAAAGGACAGGAGGCATCACACAGAGCTCTTATCTATCTGGCATGCACAAAGCCTTGGGGTCATTCTCCCACCATAGACTCCCTCCCTCCCTTCCTCCCTCCCTGCCTTCCTCCTTTTATTGAAGTTCTTATCCCTTCTCTATCATGGACATCTTTAATGGTTTAAGGAAGGCTAGGAGCTGCAAGTTAAATTTCACATTCTTTTTCAGGCAATTTACTGTCTCCCCCAAAATGACATCCGTGAATCCTTAAGATAAATGTTCAAGTCCCATTTGAGAGAAGTAGGCTGAGGGGACATGGAGGTTTTCTTACAAAGCCAATAGAGTAAAACACAAAGAAGATGGATTAACCAAGCCAGGACACTGTTCTTCTGGTTCCAGAAATGTCCGTTAGCTTGCTCTAGGAAGTGGCCACGTTGAAGCCAGATGGAACGCTGGAAAAAGTCACTAGAGGAAAGGAACAGGCCTCTGCTATGCCAGGTGGTGAGTGGTGGCCTAGATGCTGGCCAGCTACCAGCAGCACTCGCCCTTCCTGCATGTGAGCCAGGCCCACTTTCCCTCATACCCTCAGCCTCACCTCCAGCCTGGGGCAAAGAATGAAGTACACACTATGGCCCCAGCTGGAGGTTGGGGAGCCGGACCCTCCTCTCATTCCCTGATGCCTTGGAGCTGTAGTTCTTTCTGAAAAGAGGGGGTTTGACATCCTTTTCTTTGCCAGTCCTATGGTCTCTGTCAGCTCTGTGGTTCTATTACTTATTTTGTGAATGCTATGTTTAAATATCACTCACTGTATGGCTTGGTCAGTGGGCTGTTTATGAGTGCGTGAAGCCTGTTCCCTGTTAGGTCTGCAGTATATACACGATTAACAGTAAAGTGAGCAGTGACAAACAATGCAGTTCCAGCCATTGAGCTTGGATCTATAGTTGCTGTTTACACTTCTTGCATATATAGCATGCTAAACACTTCAATCTCAGCTAGAGTCGCATTCCTCATCAAACAGATATGAGACCATAAACAGAGAGAAATGGACCTGTAATGAAATCAATCTAGTTCCTGCGGGGTGGGGGATCAAAGGGGAGGGAGCTAATATGCTGCGTTTTCAGGCCATGAATCATTTAGAATTCACACACAAAGGAAAATAGCATATTTCTAGCCCCGTCCTATGATACAATTCTTCTTAAAATTAGGTATCGATCACGGGCTGATAAATCTCTGGAACATGCACTTGAGTGCACCTTAGATGCTGAGGCTGGGTTTGGATGTAAGTAGAAGCACACGGAGTGTGGTGTGCACAGCCCCTTATCTGGAGAGATGACGTTCCCAGCACTTCAGCTCAGTTAGAGGAATGGCAAGAGGGGAGATGCCACAGCGTCACACAGCCCTGTCCTTTGGAATGTCCTGTGCTGTGGGAAACACCTGCCATGTGTTGATCAACAGGGTAGCTTTGCAACGCTCATTTCTGGAGCTTTTGAAACATGTTCAGGTCTCGGAACTGCATACCACAGTGCAGGCTACAAGGCAGCATTCCTTGAGCAGAGCAGGATTTAACTCTGATTAAAGATGGCACCTGCTTTGTGCGTGTTTGCATGTCCAACCTGTGCCTCGCAGAGACCAGAGTTGGTACTTAATTGCTGACCAGTCACAGAACTAGGCTGAGGTATGTTTTCCTAACCAGAAGCGACATTAAGTACACCCATTGGGCACTGGTAGAGTATGGACGCATGCCCAGGGTGAACAGCCTTCTCTTTTGAACCCTGTTCAGCTAATCCCAAACATGCTCTTTTCTTGAAAAGGGATGAGATGTTGTGCTCCTTTTCAGGGGGCTAAGGTCAGTGGGGCCATGCCCCCTGTGCACATATCCTCCCTAGCTCACACATCCTCAAGCTCACGCCGGTCCACAAACCACCACCCTTGGCGAAGGGCTGAAGGAGCCCCCATGCTTGCTCAGAAAGGGTGGCCTCTCTCCAGTACTTCATATTCAATGAGAAGCAAAGTGGTAGGATCATTACG